TACTTTTATAACAATAAACTCTTAAGAAATTTCCTATTCGTCAATAAATATAATATTATATAAAATTATATGAAAAATGACAATAATATTTACTGTAATCGCTACTTTTTGATAGATAGATTGAGTCATATTCAATCGTATTGTATTTGCATTTGTGTTTATGTTCCGACAGTTTGTATGACATTTATCGAATTAAACTATCCTTACAAGAAAGAAATTGTTCTTAATTTCAATGGCTCCGTTTAGTAGAGAAAGCAGTTTTACAACTGTCGCAAACTTCTTAAACATGATTGATTTATATATTTAGATCCAGTGAAAAACTATAAGGACATGACAAATCATATCAGAGGATTTTACAAAGCTGTTTTTTCTGCTGAATACAGCTAATAATAAATTCAGAGTTGTAGAGAAAATTAATTTTATTTGCGATATATTCTGACAATAATACCAAATACGAAAAGCTGAACAAAGTTGAATCTTATTAAATTTTTTTCACGCATGGATCGTAAAAAGGTAATGAATTCGTAAAATGAATTACATTTGTCGAGATGAGTATTTTCCATTAATTTACAAAAAAGTAATATAATTAGTGTGTTTCATGAACGTATAACAAACGTATGATATTAAGTACATGTGAATGATTTTCTTGTTTTAATGAACAGGATTCATGCAGCATTTCTGCAGAATTCACGACTTATGTGTTTCATTTTTACGATCTGTCACTCGACATTACACCTGCTCTTTGGACAATAAATATTTCGTGAAAGGCATGTACAAGTTCAACTTGTCCGCACGGTCCAATATCCAGTTACAAATAAAAATAGCTTTACGTTAGTTTTTCATACACTTCTTTGGCGAAAATTACAATTATTTATTTTTTCGTTGCATAAAATAGTAAAAAATTTTATCACTTCCATGACGGATTATGAAGACTTATACAAACCTAGCAACCAAACTCAATTAAGTTTACATGCATTCTTTTTCCTTCAATCCTTATAAGTTTTAAAAAGATATCAACATATTATCATCTTCCATTGTGAAGCTATCAACGGAATGCCGATCAAAGAGGATATTTTGGCATTGTTCGCAATATGTCTCGCGGTGTGCTTTTGGCGTTCGCCCCTTTTGCAGAAAGAGACTGACCTCTACGAATTCGGCAAACAAGGATTCGAGAAAATCTCAAATTATGTTCAGCATTCCGTTATATTCAATTCCTTTACTAAGATCGGTATTATAACTTCAATGTACGGCATGATAAAAATATTCGACGGAGACGTAATATGAAAGTCTTTTTCTCATTTGCTAGGCATACAAATCTTATTAATCTTCTCGAATGTTAGCTAGAAAAAGAAAATCAAATTCTAAGCATAAATAGTATGAATTTTGAAGTGTAGAAAAATCCTTCTTTATTAATCGATTTACTTTGAATAATGTCGAAGTAATATCAACTAAGTTTATTCACATGCTTGATATTAATAATATATATAGAATATAATATATTATATGTAAAATATATATTAGGCACTTTAAATTGCAACGAATTGAATAGCATGTTGAAATCAATAACTTATTCGTAATATTAATAGTAATGTATAAACAATGAATAGATGTTAAGAACGCACGATATGAAAAAAAATTGAATTTTATATGATAATTTTATATGAGCGCGGTAACGGATTAAATATGTAAGTATTTACATTTGAATATGTTATTTTATGATATATGATATTTTTTTCAAGAAATATGTTGACTCTTACTTTAGCCTTTATTTATTGTTATTTATTTGTATATGTCTTGATTGTGTGTGTAATTTGAGATTATTAGACTAAACTGTCCTTACTGAGGAGCAATCGTTTCTGGTTATAAACATTATAAACGCTTTGAAGAGATATTGCCCTTAGTTCTACATATATTAAAGACGACGACAGATCGATCTGAACATTGCAAATTTTGGTAATTGCTAAATTTTTTACTTATCATCTTCGATTTCATCAAACATCAAGACAAGGTTCTTACTATTACATGAAAAGCAATATTATATATACACATATCTTAATGTTTTCAATAATGGAATATATGTAATCCAGATTTTTATATAAATAAAGTGAAGATAACGGCGTTGTCTTACTGACACTATTAAATCAAGAGAATAAACCGAGAAACTGATATGATTGTGAGTTGAAACTTATTGGATTTATTCTACGCATAAATTGCAGAGAATCGATAAGGAATTGGTAATAAATTACATTTGTCGCAGTTAACATTTCATTAATTGATATACAATAAGAATAATATGTATTAAGTTACAGTGGACGATTTCCTTGCTTTGATATATGGAATTCATATTTACAGGATTAACGGATTGTGTGTCTGACTTTTAATGATCAATCTATCGACATTACACCTGTACTTCGAATAATAAATAAATTTTTCGTCTTGAAGGTCATGTACAGGTTCAAGGTGTCTGCACCGGGCATGGTGCTTTTATGTGGAGAATATAAAAAAAGTTGTGTAGCAGCCGGTTTAGACATGCGTACCGCGCTTACATTCTCTTCATTTCCTACAAAAGCAGTTCAAAAAGATTTTATCGACATAAAATTTTCCAGTATTCGACTACACATGAAGATACCTTTACGCATATTTCTCTTATATTTTTGTAAAAAAAATTACGATTGGACACGTAATACCCGTCAGTTGTTTGAATCAGTAAAAAACTTTATTAAATTCTTGACAGGGTTTTCCAGCAGTTATGAACCCAACAATCTCGTACATCAGTTAAGCTTACAAGCTTTCTTTTTTCTTCTCGTTATTATTAGCTATCAAAAAAACATCATTATAAACTCATCTTTCGTTGTGAAACTTTCATCGGAATTACCGATTGGGGAGGGTTTGGGCAGTTCTACCTCGTTTATAGTATGTTTAGCGGCATGTTTTTTTCGTTGGTATCTCCTGCAGAAAGGAAGGGTGCGCTACATATTTACTCCTACAGATCTTACATATATCGCGGAAAATGCCTTCACTTGTGAATATCTTATATTCAATTCTTCCTATTTAATCAACATCGCAATATCTACGAGTGGCATGGTACAAGTATTTGAAGAAGGGAATCAGATGGTAAATTTTTTTTCTAATCTGCCGAGCATGAAGATCCTGTTGATCTTTTCAAATGTTAGCCAGAAAATCGGGCAAATGAAAGTGGAAATGATAGTAAAAGAGCAGTTATCTTCTTCCGTTGATGTTATTGTAAATAGTATTGAGATTATATCGAAAAAGTTTATTCAAACCCTTAAGGAGATGAAAAAAGAAATGCTTTTCTTAAGACGGCAGGAGATCGTTGAAATTAATTCAGTTCGTCTCACAAACTATTATAAAGATTTAATGGTAAGTCTCATTCCAGAAATTTTGATATAATTTAATGCTCATGTTTACAACTATTTCTTAGTCATCATGATTATTTTTCTCTTACATAGCTATACGCTAATAACATTAATCGTCTTCTAACGTACTTTACAGAATCTCATTCACATGAATCAAGGGCTACTAAAAGCATTAGGCATGGTACATCCAAATATACACACTATTTGTGCAATTGCGCGGGATTCTTCGCTTGGAGCAGAAATCGCCGCCAACCGCGGAGGTGGATACGCATTTATTTTGCTGCTACCAAGCAACTCAGATGAATACATTCAAGATCTGATCAAAATATTTAAGTCACATAATTTCACTGCCAAGGTAACCAGTTTGAATTGTAGCGGAGTAAGAGTTGAATAACATGTTGAAATCAATAATTTGTAAGAGTAGTTGAACATAAACGATGAATAAAGAAAGCTCATGCTATGAATTTATGACGCACGTTATGTAGAAAAGTTTTATATAATACATTTTGTACGCATTAATGGACTAAGTGTAGAAATTCACATTTGTCGAATTAGATAAGACATTTGCTTCTAAAATATGTAATAAAATATATATTAGGTATCTAGATATATATATTTTATATATATAGTATATACAAATATATATAAAATATAAAAATTTTATGTATGTAATATATATAAATATATATATAATATAAACATAAAAATATACGTAGTAAACGTAATATAATAGATCTAATATCGTTATCACATTCTTTATTGTAAGCAAATATTTTATATCTATTCTATCATCTTATCATATATTAGATGCGTAACTGATTACTTTTATGACAATAAAGAATCTTAAGAAGTTTTCTATTCGTCAATAAATATAACATGAAATTATATGAAAGATGACAAATATATTTACTGTAATTGCTGCTTTTTGATAGATAGATTGTGTCATATTCAGTCGTATTGTATTTACATTTGTATTTATGTTCCAACTGTTTGTATGTCATTTATTCAATTAAACTATCCTACTAAACAAAAAAAAATTGTTCTTAATCTCAATGATTCCATTTAGCAGAGGAAGCAGCTTTACAACCGTCGCATAATTCTTGAACATAATTTACTTATACATTTAAATTTAGTGAGGAACTATAAGAGCAAGATCAATCTAATTAAAAAATTTTACAGCAATGGCAAAGCTGTTTTTCTGCTGAATGCAGCTAATAATAAATCCAGAGTTGTACAGAAAATTAATTTAATTTGCGGTATAATCTGACGATAACATCAAACGAACAAAAAGCTATGCAATATTGAATCTTATCAGACTTCTTTCACGCATGGATCGTAAAAAGTCAATAATAATTTGGTAAAATAAATTACATTTGTCGCGATCAGTATTTTTCATTAATTTATAAAAAAATTAATATAAGTAGTGTGTTTCATTAATGTATAAAAAATGATATTAAGTACCTGCGAACGATTTTCTTGCTTTAATGAACAAAATTCATATCTGCAGAATCCACGAGTTACGTGTTTCATTTTTACAATCTGTCACTCGACATTACACCTGCTTTTTAAACAAGAAATTTTTTGTGAAAGGCGTGTACAAGTTTAACTTGTCCGCAATATCCAGTTACACATGAAAATATCTTTACGTCAATTTTTCATACACTTCTTTGGCGAAAATTACAATTACTTATTTTTTCGTTGCATAAAATAGTAAAAAATTTTATCACTTCCATGACGGATTATGAAGACTTATACAAACCTAGCAACCAAACTCAATTAAGTTTACATGCATTCTTTTTCCTTCAATCCTTATAAGTTTTAAAAAGATATCAACATATTATCATCTTCCATTGTGAAGCTATCAACGGAATGCCGATCAAAGAGGATATTTTGGCATTGTTCGCAATATGTCTCGCGGTGTGCTTTTGGCGTTCGCCCCTTTTGCAGAAAGAAATTGATTTCTACACATTCGGCAAACAAGATCTCAAGAAAATCTCAAATTATGTTCAGGATTGTGATTCTATTATATTCAATTCCTCGACTAAGATTGATACCATAATATCCACGTATGGCATGATAAAAATATTCTACGGACAGGTAATATGTACGACATCAAAGTCTTTTTCTCATTTTTTAGACATAAAAATCCTGGTACTCTTCTGGAATGTTAGTTAGAACACGAAAATCGAGTGCTAAACAAAAATAGTACGAATTTTGAAGCGCAGAAAAATACATCTTTTTTAGTCGTTTTTACTTGGAATAGTGTCGAAGTAATATCAACTAAATTTATTCATATGTTTGATATTAATAATATAAAGACATAATTGTTTGAAAAAGAATAATAACAGCCAATTTATTATAATAATATAATAGATAACTATAAAACGCGTTGATAAGTCTTGTTATCCGAACTTCGATACCTACTTTGGTGTAATTTTATTACACGACGTAGTTGTAGTGATTGTCTCTTAGAGATTCCCGTAGGTACGCTGGAAACATTAATTATTTTTAAGAATATTATTCATGTAAATTAAGAACTACTAAAAGCATTAGGCATGTGATATCCAAACTAAGACATTATTAGCGCAATTGATCATAATTTTTTATTCGCTGGAAAGATTGCTAGTGGAGGTGATTTCATTTTGTTATCGGATAGCACAGATGAAAGCATACAAGGTCTTACCGCGATATTCGTGACGCAAATTGCTCTGCTAAAATATACATTAGCCACTTCGAATTGTAACGAATTGAGAATTGCATAGCATGTTGGAATCAATAACGTATTCGTAATATCAACAGTAAAATATTAACAATGAATAACTCATGTTAAAAAAGCACGATATGAAAAAAAATTGAATTTTATATAATAATTCTATACGCGCGCGTTAAATCTGTAAGCTGTATTTACATTTGTATATGTTTTAATTGTTTGAGTAATTTGAGATTATTAAACTAAATTGTCCTTACAGAGGAGAAATCGTTTCTGATTATAAACATTATAAACGCTTTGAAAAGACATTGCTTTTAGTTCTACATATACTAAAAACGATGACACATCAATCTGAGCATTGCAAATTTTCTAATTGCTAAATTTTAATTATCATCTTCGATTTCATCAAGTATCAACACAAGGTTCTGACTATTACATTAAAAGCAATATTATGTATATATATATATATATATATATATATATATATATCCTAATGTTTTCAATAATGGAGTATATGTAATCCAGGTTTGTAGATAAATAAAGTGAAGATAAAGGCGTTGTTTTGCTGCACTATTAAATCAAGAGGATAAACCGAGAAACTGATCTGACTGTGAGTTGAAACTTATTGGACCTTTTCCACGCATGAATCGCAGAGAATCGATAACAAATTGGTAATGAATTACATTTGTTGCAATTAGCATTTCATTAATTGATTTACAATAAGAGTGATATGTATTAAGTTATACTAGTGAACAATTTTGTTGCTTTGATATATAGAATTCATATTTACAGGATTAACGGATTTTGTGTCTGACTTTTTAGGATCAATCAATCGACATTACGCCTGTTCATCGGATTATAAATAAATTTTTGGTTCTAAAGATCATGTACAGATTCAAGGTGTCTGCACCGGGCACGGTGCTTTTATGTGGAGATTGTAACAAAAGTTGTGTAGCAGCCAGCTTAGACATGCGTACCGTACTTACATTCTCTTCATTTCCTACAGAAGTAGTTCGAAGAGATTTTATCGAAATAAAATTTTCCAGTATCCGATTACACATGAAGATACCTTTACGCATATTTCTCTTACACTTTCATAAAAAAAATTACGATCAGATATATAATCGTGAACAGTTGTTTGAATCAGTAAAAAACTTTATTAAATTCTTGACTGGCTTTCCCGGCAATTACGATCCCGACAATCGCGCACATCAGTTAAGCTTACAAGCTTTCTTTTTTCTTCTCGTTACTATTAGCTATAAAAAAGACTTCATTATAAAATCATCTTTCATTGTGGAACTTTCATCGAAATTGCCGATTGGTGAAGGTCTGGGCAGTTCGGCTTCGTTTGTAGTATGTTTAGCAGCATGTTTTTGGCGTTGGTATCTCCTGCAACAAGGAACGGTTCGCTACATATTTAATACTATAGATCTTGCACATATCAAGGAAAGTGCCCTCTTTTGTGAGTATATTGTATACACTTCCTCCAGTTTAATCAACATCTCAATATCTACAAATGGCGTGGTAACAGAATTTAATGAGGAAATGTCCAAGAATTCTTTTGATGTGCCGAGCATGAAGATCCTGCTGGTCTTTTCGAATGTTAGCAAGAAAATCGAGAAAAGTATAAAAATAATCGTGGAAGAGAATTTATCTTTTTACGTTGATCTTATTTTAAATAGGATCGAAACTATATCGCAAAAGTTTATTCAAATCCTTCAGAAGATTAATGAAGAAACGGTTTCTTTAAAACAGCAGGAGATAGTTGAAACCAACTCAGTTCGTCTCATAAATTATTATAAAGATTTAGTTGTAAGTCTCATTCTACAAATTTTGATATAATTTAATGTACATGTTTACAACTATTTCTTAAAGTCATCCTGATTATTTTTTTTCTACATAGCAATACGCTGATAACTTTAATCGCTTTCTAACATACTTTACAGGATCTCATTCAAATGAATCAAGGACTACTAAAAGCATTAGGCACATCACATCCAAACATAGACGCTATTTGCTCAATTGCGCGAGATTCTTCGCTTGGAGCAAAAATCACCGCCAGCTGCGAAGGTGGATACGTATTTATTTTGCTGCTACCAAGCGACTCAGATGAATTGGATGAATACATCCAAGATCTGATCAAGATATTTGAGTCGCATAATTATTCTACTAAGATAGCCAGTTTGAATTGTAGCGGAGTAAGAGTTGAATAACATGTTGAAATCAATAATTTGTACAATATGAATAGTTGAACATAAACAATGAATAAAGAAAGCGCATGCTAAGAATTTATGACGCAAGTTATGAAGCAAAGTTTTATATAATACATTTTGTACGCATTAATAGACTAAGTATAGAAATTCGTATTTGTCGAATTAGATAAGAAATTTGCTTCTAAATATATGTAATAAAATATTAGATAGCTAGATAAACATTTTATGTATAATATATAATATATACAAATATATATAATACAGATATAAAAATATACGTAATAAGCATAATATAATAAATAATTTACACATACGATAATAATAGATCTTATATCATTATCATATTTTATTGTGTGTGTGTGTGTATAAGCAAATATTTTATATCATCTTATTACTATTCCATCACCTTATCATATATTAGATGCGTAACTGATTACTTTTATAATAATAAAATCTCAAGAAGTTTTCTATCCGTTAATAAATATAATATGAAATTATATGACAATAATGACAATAATATTATATTTACTGTAATTGCTACTTTTTGATAGATTGAGACATATTCAATCGTATTGTATTTACATTTGTGTGTATATTCCAATTGTTTGTATGTCATTTATTAAATTAAACTATGCTAACAAAAAAAATTATTCTTAATCTCAATGGTTCCGTTTAGCAAAGGAAGTAGCTTTACAATCGTCGCATAGTTCTTGAACATAATTTATTTATACGTTTAAATCCAGTGAAAAACTATAAGACCAAGATCAATCATATTAAAAAGTTTTATTGTACAATAGTGGGAAAGCTGCTTTTTTTGCTGAATGCAGCTAATAATAAATCCAGAGTTGTACAGAAAATTAATTCAATTTGCAGTGTATTTTGACGATAACATCAAATATGAATCATAAAGCAATGTTAAAATTATTAGATTTCTTTCATGCATGGATCGCAAAAAAATCGATAAATTGGTAAAATGAATTAGAATTGTCGTGATCAGTATTGTCCATTAATTTACAAAAAAAAAGTAATATAGTTAATGCGTTTCATTAATGTATAACGAATCAATGATATTAATAATTACTTGCGAACGATTTTCTTGCTTTAATGAACAGAATTCATATCTGCAGGATTCACAAGTTACGTATTTAATTTTTACGATCTGTCACTCGACATTACAACTTTGTCTGGACAATAAATTTTTCGTGAAAGGAATACAAGTTTAACATCCCTCCGGACACAATAACTTGATTTCGCGTTGCATGAAATAGTAAAAATTTTTATCATTTTCATGACGGACTATGACGGCTTATACAAACCTAGCAACCAAGCTCGTCAATTAAGTTTACATGCATTCTTTTTCTTTCGATCGTTATAAGAGAAGCTTTAAAAAGATATCAACATATTATTATCTTCTATTGCAAAACTCTCAACGAAATTGCCGATCAAAAGTCTTGAAATTACGGCACCGTTCGCGATATGTCTCGCAGCGTGCTTTTGGTCCCTTTTCCAGAAAAAGATTAACCTCTACGAATTCGGCAAACAAGTTCTCGAGAAGATCTCGAATTATGTTCAGCATTGTGATTCTGTTATATTCAATTCCTTGACTAACATCCACGTACGACTGATAAAAATATTCGGCGAACAGGTAATATGTACATCGACATCAAAGTCTTTTTCTCATTTGCTAGGCATAAAAATCCTGCTAGTCTTCTCGAATGTTAGCTACAAAACGAAAATCGAGTTGCTAAACAAAAATAATATGAATTTTGAAGCATAGAAAAGTCATCTTTGTTAATTGATTTTACTTTGAATAGTATCGAAATAATATGAACTAAGTTTATTCATATGCTTGATATTATTAATATTATATTATATAATATATAATATAATATGTAATATAATATATTTATTAACACTTTGAATTGCAACGCATTCAGAATTGAATAGCGTGTTGGAATCAATAACTTATTCGTAATAATATGATTGGAAACAAGACCGACTATATAAATATTAAAACTTTAAATACAAAGCGCCTTCCCGGTCCGAGTGTTAAGATGTTGAACTACTATCTAATATACATTCAATTAAATTGAATTAATATTTCAGAAATAAATTGAGAGCCGATGAAATTATCGGATTCACACAATCAATCTGAAACAAATAATCCCCAAATAATCCTGAGCCTTTAGACGGTCTTGTTTCCAATCATATTGTTTATAATACGCTCGTTTATACATGCGTAACTCACTATATATATCGGTTATTGCGAAGAGTGTTGCTAAGGTCTCGGTAGTCTAAAGGCTCAGGACGCTCGCACGGAATGCAAGAGTTCCGGGTTCGACTCCCGGCCGAGGCAATATTTTTCGCAATAAGTTTATTACAGTTTTTTAAGATTTGGGAGAATTTGGGGGGACTATTCTATTTGTTTCAGATTGATTGTGTGAATCCGATAATTTCATCGGCTCTCAATTTATTTCTGACATATTAATTCAATTTAATTGAATGTATATTAGATAGTAGTTCAACATCTTAACGGTCTCGGACCGGGAAGGCACTTTGTATTTAAAGTTTTAATTATTCGTAATATTAATAATTAAATATAAACAATGAATAACTCATGTTAGAACGTACGATACGAAAAAAAATTGAATTTTATATAATAATTCTATACGTGCGACGGATTAAATGTGTAAGTTGTATTTACATTTTTATATGTTTTGATTGTGTAATTTGAGGTTATTACACTAAATTGTCCTTACTGAGGAGAAATCGTTTCTGATTATAAACATTATAAACGCTTTGAAAAGACATTGCTTTTAGTTCTACATATACTAAAGACGATGACACATTAATCTGAGCATTGCAAATTTTCTAATTACTAAATTTTAATTATCATCTTCGATTTCATCAAGTATCAAGACAAGGTTCTTACTATTACATTAAAAGTAAAATTATGTATATACATATCCTAACGTTTTCAATAATGGAGTATATGTAATCCAGGTTTTTATATAAATAAAGTGAAGATAAAGACGTTGTTTTGCTGACACTATTAAATCAAGAGGATAAACTGGGAAATTGATCTGATTGTGAGTTGAAACTTATTGGATCTTTTCCACGCATGAATCGCAGAGAATCGATAAATTGGTAATGACATTTATCGTAGTTAGCATTTTATTAATTGATATAGAATAGAGTAATATGTATTAAGTTATACTAATGAACAATTTTGTTGCTTTGATAAATAGAATTCATATTTACAGGATTAACGGATTTTGTGTCTGACTTTTTACAATCGATCAATTGACGTTACGCCTATTCTACGGATTATAAATAAATTTTTCGTTCTAAAGGTTATGTACAGGTTCAAGGTGTCTGCACCGAGCACGGTGCTTTTATGTGGAGAATATAAAAAAAGTTGTGTAGCAGCCGGCTTAGACATGCGCACCGTTCTTACATTCTCTTCATTTCCTACAGAAGTAGTTCGAAAAGATTTTATCGAAATAAAATTTTCCAGTATCCGATTACACATGAAGATACCTTTACGCATATTTCTCTTACATTTTTATAAAAAAAATTACGATCGGACACTTAATCCTCTTCAGGTGCTTCAATCAGTAAAAAACTTTATTAAATTCTTGACAGGCTTTCCCGGCAATTACGATCCCGACAATTACGCACATCAGTTAAGCTTACAAGCTTTCTTTTTTCTTCTTGTTACTATTAGCTATCAAAAAAACATCATTATAAACTCATCTTTCGTTGTGGAACTTTCATCGAAATTACCGATTGGGGAGGGTTTGGGCAGTTCCACCTCGTTTATAGTATGTTTAGCGGCATGTTTTTTTCGTTGGTATCTCTTGCAACATGGAACGGTCCGCTACATATTTAATTCTACAGATCGTACATATATCATGGAAAATGTCTCCAATTGTGAATATTTTATATTCAAATCCTTCAATTTAATCAACATCGCAATATCTATAAATGGCATGGTACAAGTATTTGAAGAAGAGGAACTAATGTTAAATTTTTTTTCTGACCTTCCGAGCATGAAAATCCTGTTGGTCTTTTCAAATGTTAGCCAGAAAATCGGGCAAATGAAAGTGGAAATGATAGTAAAAGAGCAGTTATCTTCTTCCGTTGATGTTATTGTAAATAGTATTGAGATTATATCGAAAAAGTTTATTCAAACCCTTAAGGAGATGAAAAAAGAAATGCTTTTCTTAAGACGGCAGGAGATCGTTGAAATTAATTCAGTTCGTCTCACAAACTATTATAAAGATTTAATGGTAAGTCTCATTCTACAAATTTTGATATAATTTAATGCACATGTTTACAACTAGTTCTTAGTCATCGTGATTATTTTTCTGTTACATAGCTATATGCTAATAACTTTAATCGTCTTCTAACGTACTTTACAGAATCTCATTCACATGAATCAAGGATTACGAAAAGCATTAGGCATGGTACATCCAAATATAAACACTATTTGTGCAATTGCGCGGGATTCTTCGCTTGGAGCAGAAATCGCCGCCAACCGCGGAGGTGGATACGCATTTATTTTGCTGCTACCAAGCAACTCAGATGAATACATTCAAGATCTGATCAAAATATTTAAGTCACATAATTTCACTGCCAAGGTAACCAGTTTGAATTGTAGCGGAGTAAGAGTTGAATAACATGTTGAAATCAATAATTTGTAAGAGTAGTTGAACATAAACGATGAATAAAGAAAGCTCATGCTATGAATTTATGACGCACGTTATGTAGAAAAGTTTTATATAATACATTTTGTACGCATTAATGGACTAAGTGTAGAAATTCACATTTGTCGAATTAGATAAGACATTTGCTTCTAAAATATGTAATAAAATATATATTAGGTATCTAGATATATATATTTTATATATATAGTATATACAAATATATATAAAATATAAAAATTTTATGTATGTAATATATATAAATATATATATAATATAAACATAAAAATATACGTAGTAAACGTAATATAATAGATCTAATATCGTTATCACATTCTTTATTGTAAGCAAATATTTTATATCTATTCTATCATCTTATCATATATTAGATGCGTAACTGATTACTTTTATAACAATAAAGAATCTTAAGAAGTTTTCTATTCGTCAATAAATATAACATGAAATTATATGAAAGATGACAAATATATTTACTGTAATTGCTGCTTTTTGATAGATAGATTGTGTCATATTCAGTCGTATTGTATTTACATTTGTATTTATGTTCCAACTGTTTGTATGTCATTTATTGAATTAAACTATCCTTAACAAAAAAAAATTGTTCTTAATCTCAATGGTTCCATTTAGCAGAGGAAGCAACTTTACAACCGTCGCATAATTCTTGAACATAATTTACTTATACATTTAAATATAGTGAGGAACTATAAGAGCAAGATCAATCTAATTAAAAAATTTTACAGCAATGGCAAAGCTGTTTTTCTGCTGAATGCAGCTAATAATAAATCCAGAGTTGTACAGAAAATTAATTTAATTTGCAGTGTATTCTGACGATAACACCAAATACGTGTTAAAAGGCTGAGCAATGTTGAACCTTATTAGTTTTCTTTCACGCATGGATCGTAAAAAATCCTTAATGGATTAGTAAAATAAATTACATTTGTCGCAATCAGTATTATTTATCAATTTACAAAAAAGTAATAAAGTTAGTGTTTTTCATGAATGTGCAACGAATGTATCATATTAAATACTTGTGGACGATTTTCTTGTTTTAATAAACGGGGTTAATCTACAAGATTCACGAATTACGTGTTTGATTTTTACGATCTCTGTCACGTTACCCTTGTTCTTTGAGTAATAAATTTTTCGGCGTGAAAGGCAGATGCAAGTTTAACTTGTCCGCACCGGGCACGATGCTTTTATACGAAGAAGCCGTAAAACGTAACAAAAGCTATATATAGCAACTTAGACGTACCACATTCGCATTTTCTTCGTTTCCTATAGCAGTAGTTGGAACAAATTTTATCGAAATAGATTTCTCCAATATCCAATTATGCGTAAAAATATCTGAACGCGAATATTTCATACTCTTCTATATTCAAAGATGACAATTGCACACTTACTGGTATTCAGTGGTGTAAAACAGTAAAAGATTTTATCTTGATGAACTATAATGGTATTTATGAACTCAGCAGCCACGCTCGTCGGTTAAGCTTACAATCTTTCTATTTTCTTATCATTTCTATCAGCTATAAAAAAATATCAATATAAAATCATCTTTTTATTGTGGAACTATCAATGGAATTTCTAATTAGAAGATTTGAGCAGCAATGTTTGCGATAAAATATTTGTTACATTATATTTTTGTAAAAAATAAAACGTTTTTGCGTGCTTTATATATTATTAGTTAATTAATTTTTACATCAATAATCTCACTGGAAATCAAAACTTATGAAAAATTGGTGGATAAATATTCATAATGCCCTTCGGAATTAAAAAAAAAATTGAATTGTTTATAATTTTTAATAACACATGTTCTCTTCTATGCGTTTAAAGTGTTGATGTTCAAAATTGATATTTCGCAGTCAATATTTTAAAACAAATTTAGACTACGACAATGAACATTTTTCGCTGATCATCTCTCTAAAGCTGAACGAAAAATGTCATTTATTGATTTTGCATTAATGTGTGCTGAATATGTAATACATTATAAGCAGAAAAATATAGAAGCTTTATTATTCCTTCTCCTACATGTTTGTTTCTTGTTAAATCACGAGTTCGAGTTGTACATCGTGTTCTAGCATTATTAAAACGTTCAATTTAAAACTATCGATAACAAGACTCACAAGATAAAAGGACACATTCGATACGGGATTCAAATAATATTTCTTGTATTTCTTTCATACGTCAGCCACCAGGGCACCAGGTGAATTCGAGCACGAGGAATTTCTCTTGATTTTCAACGGGCGTAATTAAGCGCGCGCGCCACGCCGAGCTGACGCGACACGGACAATAGATGAGCCGGGCGGGTAGCCTTAATTAAATGGTAAAGGCGGCCGATTAGTTGGCAAACTCGCGATAGTGGAAATTTATTATATCCAATGCAACCCGCGGGGTCTCACGTGCGCGCTCCTCCACCGTCTTTCGTGCCGTCGTTACCGCACCCCGTTGCCCATCTTCCGTACAACCAGGCTGGCGAATCGGGGGTTGGTTTGTCGCGCATAAATCCCGCCGCTCTCCAGATGGGATACACGCCGTCGCGCGACGATCAGATAGATGCTTAATGCAATTATACGCCTCGGAAGGAGCACCGAGACCGATGCCAGTTTTCGTGAGACTGCTGCACGTGGCCAAGCTTGTACGCTTCGTCGCGCGGATCAACGAAGCGTAATTACTAATTTCCCGTTGTCCTTTCCCGTTGCGGAAAAGCGACGTGCGGTTTTGGATTTTTTCGAGAAAACGCAGGCTATCGAGAGAAAGGATTATAAATTAAATTGTCCTTATTTTTCTCGAAAGTAGAGGAAAGTACGGAAAGGAAGGAAATGCGATTAATAATCGATATAACGTATCGTAAGATAAGCAATTACGAGATTAATAAAAACTGTCACATTATATATTTCAGTCGAGTGTCGGGGAAAGGATATATATTATAGACCACGGTACGTCGACCGGGGGAAGAACGAAGATCAATTCGGGCACTTCTCGCGCAGACGGCTGATTACCCGCATCCTGATTATCGAACCTAACCAGGGAACACAAGCCTGCCCGCCGCAAACAGGCCCGTCCGTGTTTGCGCTGTGTCGGCCAAAACTCTGCGGTCACGATGGAACGTAGAAAGTGTCTCGTTCACCACACGACGTGGCACGGACGCTGCTGCGCATCGTCGCGCCACGGTGGACGAGTCGATCTCTATTTCGTCTAATTCGTTTAGCGTAGTCCACGATCTTTTTCGAAGAATTGATTGGACCGACTCTGAAGACCGCGACTGTCCGAATCGATCGGCGCTCCTCCTCGGCTTCATTATCATACTCTGTATTAGCGGCCCGAGTGAGTCGGACGCACAAACCGGAGTTCGTTCGCCAAAGATATATTGCCGCATACGGGATCGCGCCGCGCACATATTTGCAGATTAATCTGAATCCAATTCTCTCGGATTTTCGCGAAGAAGCGCCCCC